TATTTGTTCATTGTGTAGCGTGTTGACTAAATCCATCGTCACAGACACCTAACGACGGCAATGCAACCTCCCGTGTCCTCGGATCGTGAAAAGATACCGCGGAAAGTTCCAGGGCGGTGGCGTGTTCTGCTCGTAAAACCCGGAATTGGTATCCTCGCTTAGATACCCTGACGACATTTTGTGTTGAACGCTTCGAGGATAGTGTGAATTTTGTGGTAGGCAGCTTTGCTGTCGTTCGGTTCAATACCATGCCTAACCGAGCGGGGTCTGATGCGGTCCGCCACTCCAAGTCTCGGGGCCTAGGTTACCGGTAACCGGTATCCATTAGTGAATAGCAGGTGTTCGTGACTATGGGGTTCGGCTCGTCTTGTTCACACACTAATGTTCGGGGGGTGGGTGTCTAGGGTTGCAGCTGGTCACCCTTGCAACTCGCGAAATGCTCCGATACGACCAAGCGTCTCAAACAGTCCCGCTGAGGAAGCTCTACTCACTGCCTTCTCGCAAAGCGGAAGTGCCTTCCCACCAATTTGAGAAGAAAAAAGGCCGAAATCCGGGGCCATTACTAAGTTGGTGAGCCACTGGTAGTTCACCTAGGGGAGTTGAGCAAAAACCCTGATTCAAAACCAACCAAGAGGAGGCTTACTGACCACCCACACCTCTCTGATTGTGACATGGGTCACCGGCTCGACTGGGCATCAAGGCGTATTAGTCACCTTGAACGTTCGACCTCGTTCAAATGGCGAATTCATTCACTTAAGTGATACGACCAATCAACTACTGTCGTGGGCAACGTGAATGTGTGGGTCGTCAGTACTGGAATGGTTAGAACATACAATCTAGCATCCAAGTGCACTGGTGGCATACATCCATTGTATTGCTTGATGCCGCTAAAATCTATCCCGCGCATCACATACGTATTCTGCGGGGTCCGATGCAGACCACCACTTCTGCATTATGGTGAAATGTTGCCCACATCTGGGCCCATCAGCAGTGCGTTTGTGTGTGTTGCATCACTCACATAACATGGGAATAGTTATTTTGTTCACAGTTAATTTTTTTAGATCACTGTCTGACAGATCTCCTGCATTACTTTCCGACTGTTCCGCTTTCTGTCACAGTTCGACAGGTCGACAATCTGATGTTAGAAATCAACGTTGCCATTGGATCATTGTGCATTTTAAAAAAAATCTTAGTATTGTGATTCTCTTATATGCCTATTCACGTATGCTTAATCGTGAGGAGTGGAAGCGATTTAGTCCTTGTTCGCACGTCTGCGCGTGCACTGCGTTCGCTTATTGCGTCATAAATGTGTGGCATATGAAAAAAACATGGACAATGTAAGACTAGCAGGCAGAATTGTGCAGCTAATCACGACTGTGTGGAGAGAAATCCACTTCCCGCCTCCTCTCCTCGGCCTCTAGTGTCCCATCGAGTAGTTTTAGATTGCATTGTCTTTGCCTCTGTTTTGTTCACATTTCTACTTTCCAATCCATTCAATGGAACGTGCACGTCTGTTTGATTCGTGCTCCTCTGCCTGCATGTGTGTGTGTGTGTGCACTTCTTCTGTCGTCGAGCTAATTCGTGCTTTTTGCGTTCAGTTTTCAAAATCCGAGAGGGTATACAAACTCTGGAGTGACGGAACATTACATGGCAATTCAACATGAAGCTAGGGTTCAGTGCAAACTATCTTAAATTAGGTATTATTATTATTATTATATCTCATGCCTGTCTGTAACCGTACTGTGTGCCAAACAAATCATGGTACAATAATCTTTACGAAAAAGATAAACATTCCGTGATTTGCATGTGGGCTGAATACTGCCAGGTTGCCTAGGCCAAGGTAGGTGAATTTTCCTAGAGAATTCACAACCGGAGCCTTCGGATAACCAAAGCCCGACCCGCAAGACATCGGGGCGGTGTGCGAAAACCGCAATCCATTGGGGGCCGGTGTACAGTTCTCATCGGATCGTACGCCTTTCGGATAGGATCAAACGTCCAAGGTGCCCAATACACTTCGATGCCCATTTGAGCCGGTGACCGTTGCCACAACCAGAAAGGTGTGGGTGTGGTTTGGAATCAGGGTTTTGGCCAACTCCCCTAGGTGAACTGCCTGTGGTTCATCAACCCAGTTATAGCTCCGGATGTTGGCTATTTGTCCTCTCACCTTGGTGTGAAACACCACTGCAACACGAGAAGGCAGTGAGTAGGGTTTCCTCAGTGGTGCCTATTTGAGACGCTTGGTCTTATTGGGTGCATTTCGCGAGGTGCAAGGGAAGGGTGACCAGCCGCAACCCTAGGC